AAATTATGGTTGACAGATGTGTAGAGATGAAGTATTGAAAGCAACAAAGGGAAAGCAATCTGAGAAGTAGCATTTTTCATGTATTTTTGAAAATTACCTAAATAGACAAAAATGTGCAAACATATTTATTGCTGTATTGCTTATAATACTTAAGGACAGAAAGCAAGTAGAATATACAAACAACTCATGGTACATTCATATAACCATTAAGTCAGAAACATTCTATATGTTCGAATATATAAAATTATTGGCATAGAAATATAGTAATAGTATGCTGCTGAATGAACTATACACAATATGAGTATACATAATTTAAGTATGCACATATATAAATATACTTGAAATATAAGTATATACACATGTGTGTTTAAACATATACAATATCTGAAAGATTAGCTAATATAGGAAAAAATTACTGTCATTATCTCTAGCTGGTAAGACTGTATGTCATTTAGAATTTTCCTTTGTAATACCTGTACTTTCTATTTTCTTCAATAGCTTTTCATTTATCTAATAAAACATTAAAAATCAAAAGAAAATTGCTTGAAGCAAAAGCTTTACTGACAAATATAACACTAGCCCTAGTCTTAGTGTTCTGAGTCATGAAAAAACCCGTTATATGCTAGCTTTTAAAATGCCTCTAATAGGACTCGGAATAGAGAAGAAGGCAAGAGCTTCATTATGTTTTTATGCCATTTCCTCTCACACCAGCAATTCTGTTACTAACGGTAGAACGTTCTTTCTCCATTCTGGGACTCTGATCTGGAAGTCGGAGAACAAAGGGAAAACAAAGGGCTGTGTCGCTCCGGCCTTGCCCCATCTCCTCCGTTGCCCGGGAGCCTTCGTCCAGTGAACCCCCGGGCCTCTTCAGGACCTCGCCCCCACGTGCGCTCCCCTCCCGGTGCCCCCCTCCATCGCCTTGTAAGACCCTGCATCATCTTGCTCCACCCCCTTCAGTTTCAGTCTAACCCCTCCCTCGAATCAAAAGCCGATCACTGCAGCCGACCTGCAGACACACCCTGTGCCGTCTTCCAGTGCCTTCCTTACCTCACCTCCACGCCTCACCTCCGCTCTCCATCTTCTGACCCCTCTCTTCCCGCCCCTACCAGTGCTCCGCTTCTTACACACACACACACACACACACACACACACTCTCCAATCCTGTGGTTCTTCTCCTGTTTTATCTTCAAGAGTACCTCTTGTCTACGAGCTGTTCTCAGCAGAAGAACTTAAGAGACTGGTATAGTTTCACTGAATCCCCTGAGAGCAGAGCTTCCTTCCTCCTAGTCAGGCCCTCCTGGTGCCTCGGAGAGTGATGCATGCCTTTGGCCCTCACTAGATGTTTGCTGATGCTCGTGCCTCTATGACAGTCTCATAGGAATAAGCATAACATAAATAGAGCATTCAGAACCCAGCAATGAGAGCAAGACTGCCTCTGAGCCCTGCGGCTCACCTCCTGAGCCATCACAAGTTCCATACCCTCTCTGAGTCTGTTTCTTCATGTGTAAAATGGGCATGATGATGGCACCTGCCTCACAGACCTGGGATGAGGATGAAATGAATCATGTGACGTACTCGCTGTTTGCAAGTTGTCAAACAAGGTTAACTCTTGTCATCATTAGCTGTCATGTAAACTAACTCCTCCTTCAAAATCACATAGGCTGTGAGCACACAGTCTGTCTCATGGTCCACGGCTATGCGACTAGTTGTTGTTTCTTTTTTTTAATTATTATTTTTTTTAATCTTAGAAGTGACTAGTTGTTTCTTTTTTTAATTTTTTTTTTATCTTAGAAGCCTAGTTCTTTGTTTTGGAAATAATTGATAATACATCTGTTTGTGTCATCTTCAATGTTTTTTCATCAATGTGTTGCACTTTTGGAGTACAGGTCTTTTGTCTCTTTAGGTAGGTTTATTCCTAGGCATTTTATTGTTTTTGATGCAGTGGTAAATAGGATTGTTTCTTTAGTTTCTCTTTCTGATCTTATGTCGTTAATGTGTAGAAATGCAACAGATTTTTGTGTATCAATTTTGTACCCTGCAATTTTACCAATTTCATTGATGAGTTCTAATAGTTTTCTGGTAGTGACTTTAGGATTTTCTATGTATAGTGTCATGTCATGTGCAAATAGTGACAGGTTTACCTCTTTCCCAATGGATTGCTTTTATTTCTTTTTCTTCCCTGATTGCTGTAGCTAGGACTTCCAAAACTATGCTGGGGAAAAAAAAAAAGTGGCGAGAGTGGACATCCTTGTCTTGTTCCTGATTTTAGAGCGACTGCTTTCAGCTTTTCAGCTTTTTCAGGTATGATGTTAGCTGTAGATTTGTCATATATGGCCTTTCTTGCGCTGAGGTATGCATTCCCTCTGTGTCCACTTTCTGGAGAGTTTTATCATCCGTGGGGCCAACACAATTTGGAAGTGCACATGCTGCTGAGGATCAAGGATGATGTGTTGTGACTGCTTTAAAATGCACCCAGAGTTCGTTTTAACCAGGTGTGCTGCCATGGGAAACGCAGAGACGACTGCCTTTGAAGGCAGAGTTAGTTACTCAGTGTCCCCAAGAGGAAGGGACACCCCACGCCAGGCAGAGCCACATGGAGAAGCACCCGGGCGGTCAGGAGGCAGGAATGAGGGGACAGCGCGGCAGAGCCTTTGTTATTAAAGTGGCGGGGTGGGGGTGTTGTGTGGAGGTGTCCCTTGTCGGGGAACAAGACACAAATCTTGGTGTTTGTGGATGAAGGATCTGTAATGTTAGTTCTGTGTGCTTGTGAAACCCAGGGATGGTAGGGACGTAAACAACGTTGCCTGTTAGTTTGGGCCGTGATTTCAAGACACTAAATTGTCAATTCCAGAAGATCAGCACTGATGATTGCAGCAGCCCACGCTGACTGCTCTCCTAATTGCGCTTTCCCTTAGTTTCCAGTGTCACCTTCGTCTCTGCCACTGTGGCTCTTTCTCTTTGTGAAGTGGCTCTGCGGGCCCTGGGTTTTATTTAGATCTCCCATTCTCTGGCCCATTTTTGTTTATCTTTCTCCTGCGGTTTGACCCTGTTTCTATTATACCCAATGAAAGGTTTTCTCAGTTTTCTACTTGCTTCTATCTATGAGGGCTGTTCCTTTTCACAGTCAAGACTAGAAACTTGGGAAACAGAAGGAAGCCAAGGCTGCGTTGCCATGTCAACCCAAGGCAGAGCTGACTTTTCAGCATCGCACACTCATCTCTCTGGCTTAGGGACTAGCGGGGTGCTGGAAAATGGGTTTTGCCCACCCAAAAGGCTTTTGGCAATTATTGAGGATGCCGAAGCTTTGTCTCTGGGCCAGCCTGTCCTGTGGCTTCAGTGAACTACCGAGTGAGATCTGGTGACATTGATCTTGTTTTGGGGGCAGAACTCAACCATGGCCCTACATAGTTGTCCCCATTTGCCTTTTCTGCAGAGAAGTCCCACTTAATACCCACGCCAGTCCATGGCTGGATAATCACAGGAAATCCTGACTCCACTCAGCTGAAAAGAAAGACTTCTCAAAGAAGAATTTCGGGCTTTCTTATTCCTTCCCCTTTTCTTGTAGTCTGGCTCTGTGCCTTTATTCTGCTTGCTTTTCTCCCTGCAAGTGCCGCCTCACCCCTCCCCGCACCGTCCTCTGTTTAGATGAACAGGAAACCCCTAATATGCAGCCGTCCACTCTGACTTGGTTGAACTTCTTTTCTCTTTTTCTGTAGGGAGAAAAAATTAGATTTTACTCTATGGCCTTTGATTACTATTTTAGTTTTTGCCTTTTTTTTTTTTTTTTTGAGGTNGCTCTCTGGTTTTCATGTCTGCTCTGTTTTAGAGGGTGGCAGAGAGGTTCTCACCTGATGACCCCCATTACTGAGCGATGGCATCAGAGAGAGGGGGAGTCACCCAGAGTTCTAGAGGGGACTCTCGATGTTCGTTTCTATTTACGAGCAGAAAGACAGAATCAACAGGATCCCTGGAATTTCCCTCCCAGTAACTGTCTTTCTTTGATTCTGGCTTTTGTGTCCCCCAAAATTAGGCAGCCTGCTATTTGCAGGTCTCCGTTGCTTCCTGTGTCCTGCTGTGACCTCAGCAAGTAGAACAGAACAAAGGGTCCTGGCAATGCTTGTTAAGGAGAGCAGGGTGGGGCCGACCAGCCTGGATCTGAGACCAAAATGCAGCTGCTCGTAGCTTCATTTGACTGAAGCCAACGCAGTCCGTTTTCATCTTCTCTGACATTCATTATCCTGAGGAGGGGCTCTCAGGGGATAGGACATTAGCCACAAATATGACAAGGTGAAAGGACAATGAGTCTGGTCTGAAGCATTGTATTCCAACGGTTGACAGCCCAGGTTCATCCATCAATATTATTGACTTGGCCAAGCTTCAGGGTGGAGTAATTTCTGTAATGCAATTTAGCTTGTGCCACAGAATGGTGTGTCTGGGATAGAATGTCTGAAGCCGGTCGTCTGTGAGATACATTTTGGGCAACACTCTTAATCTTAAAATTAGAACTGCTTGCAGCCCAGGAAGATGCTTAATTAGATTCATCTCGGAGCCACCAGCTGTTCCTGAGATGCACAGAGACGTCCGAAGTCTCTCTGATTCTGCGGAGACAGGGGCGGGGGCTCCCTGTTTACGAGCCAAGGCTGAGAGACCCTTCAGTGGAAAGCTCTCAGGCCTGAGAGGCCACGCACGCGGAGCTCACGTCTGCCTCTTCCTCCGGCCTCTCGCTCTGCGCTCAGAACTAAGGAGCCCTTAGTCACGATAGTCACATGTCCACAGAGGGCTCCTGTGGGTCGGTGCACGGCCGGCCCTGTCCCTCCCATCTCCTCCCTCTCGGCATCTCAGGGTAAACCGCGCCTTTGCCAGACTGACATCTGGACCCCGAGGATGTAGTCACGGGGAGGGGACAGGGAGAGAATGTGAACGAGGGAAACCACGAGGCGAGAGGGGGAGACGGGAAGAGTTTTTTCTTTCTTTCTTTTTTTTTTTTTTTCAGAAAGGCTGAGTCGATCTGTAGAACCACGATTTGGGAGAGAGTAACAAGCCTGGGTGAAGGGAAAATCGTGCCGCTGAGACTGAAGCAGTTTCATGGTTTGGGGAGTCCGCAGGGCTGGAATTGTGGATGAAAGACAGGAGACTTCGAGGAGTGTGGTGATAAGTTGTGAGACTATGAGGAAGATTGGAGAGGAGTTACCAGCCTCACAGGTTGAGAGGTGAAAGGGGCCTTTAGAGGGTTTAGACTCAGCCTCCCGTTCACAAGGGAACTCTTCTAGGACATTCCTGCAGAATGGCCACCCGGCCTTTACTTGGAAACCTTCGGGAATAGGAGACGTACTCTTGTGTTGGCAAGTGTAGCAGACTAGTGGAGAACACAAGTGCTTGAGCCAGACTGCCGGGGTTCAAATCCAGGGGCCACCAGTTCCTGGTGTGGCCCCTTAGGTATGTTACCTAGCAGCTCTGTACCTCAGTTTCTATACTGACGACTTAGGGATGGTGACAGTAGATGGTTATTTTGAGGATTAATTTTATATATTTGATATTTTTTATTTATTCATAAAGTATATATGTCACTAAGAGCAGTGCTTGGTCTATAATGACAAGCATAAGTATTTTCTCTTGTTATCATCAGGCTGTTCCATGTATAAGAAAGTTCTTTTTCAGATTGAATACTGTACATCTGGCTTCTTTTATTCCTGCCTATTTTCAGTCCCTGAAATAACTCACCAGTGCTTCTCTGCTTTCCACATTGGTACCCTCCAAACATCTGAAGATGTGTATCGTGTCCCTCTCTGCTTTTCTTCCCTGTGTTGTAGAGGAGAGAATATGCAAACTCTGTCCCTTCTGTCCAGAACACTTTGCCTGGTCATGTTCTAACTCAGATTTCTCATTTTTCAAGATACCTTCCCACACCAGAGTAACTTACACAATATTTTACCCATGTTCTCTGAGTCTGAGTAGAAAGATAAAAGAACACAGTACAGATTCTCACAGCCATTTGAATGTGTTACCAGTTCATCATATGCCTTGTTCATCTTGGTAACCCCGGCGCCCAGTACAAAATGCTATTGAATAAATTAGATGGAACAGAGAAGAAGTTGGATGGATGTAAAGTGACAACCTTCTTAAAAGGCACAGAACAGTTCTCTTGGAGAACAAAGTCTTTGGAGCAAGGAGACAGGTGGTAAGATGGTTTTTTCAAATATTTTTAGTGAACAGGCTTGCCTTTGATTCCATCAGCTGACAATTTTGTCCCGATTAGTTCCATCAGAAAGGGAAGTTTTCTTGGAGTTTTGATTTTGCGTTGCTTGTTCAGCTTTCAGACTCTGCTTTGCTCTGCAAATTCCTATTTGGGGAGAATTGAAAAACAAAAGACAAAGAAGCAAGAAAGGGTAAGTGGATCCAGATGGTGAAGAAATCAAGGCAGGCAGTGAAGACAGGGACAGCAGAGGTGGCTGAGTCCTTTGGCTCTCGATGTGGGCAGAAGGTCCTTTGGAAGAGCAGAGAGAGAAGATAGTGTTTTGATATTAATAGAAGTCATTGGCTAGAGCGTAAAAGAGTTTAAAAATGGAGCATCATGTGGAGAGGCTTTTTTAAGGGAAATGTGCTCTGCACTAAAAGTGTTCTCTATTAAGTGTTTTCTTTTGAGACCTGAGTAAAGGTTTCGGTGGCTCTAGATGTGTATTTTCTGCTCTTTTTTTGAATAGGGCGTGGCCAACAGCCCCAATCCCGTGTGATCCCACTTGTATTCCCACTGACCTGCGGTAGCCGGTCATTTGGGTCAACACTCAAATCCATGGAAGCTCTTGTCCTGTGGACCAGTGAGTGGTGCTTCACTGTAGCACACAGCAGCCCCAAGTGAGAAAACAACTGCTCCACGGAAGTAGCAGCTCAGTGTCTCTAAATGTGTGAAATAATGAAGCATGCGTGCAGTTCACAATAGCCCATAGGCGTCTTAAATTTTTCTTTGTATTAATATGGGTTTCCCATTTGGAACCAATCATTAATTACAGTCTGTACTTGGAGACTGGCCGAAAGAGCAAATTATTTTGGGAGTTAAGACCAGAGCAATAATATATCCTTGCCTTTGTTTGTTCCTATAAATTAATGGTCAAAATGTTATCTGAAATAGAAAATCTACGCAAAACTCCAGCATTGTTTTCCAGGCTGGGCTACTGGTTGCCACCAAAAGATATTTGGGTGAAGTCTTTGGTCTGCAAACCTCTTATAAACCTCTCTCCATCTTTGGAAAAGCCCCCTGACAATAGGGAATATGTCCAGTACTCTGACTCCCCCAGATATAAAAGGATGAGCTAGTCCTGTCAGTTTTAGCCAAGTGTTTATATTTTCAACTTGCTGTTTTAACTGCACAAAGAAAGGAAAGGAAAGTTGACATTCTTTAGGTTTTCAATGGAAATGTAGTGTATGTACCCTACCTAATAAGAGATCATAATTTTAGGAAAAACCAGTGACCAGAAATATAAAAGAACTTGCATTATGGTAACACATGGAAGTAGAATCCTTAAAGATAATTCCCCATTGGACCATTTCTTATATAGTACATCGATTCTGGCCCCTCTCACACAAATCCAGTCTTTTTGCAGGTTTCTAAGCTTGGTACCCTTTGGGGATTAAGCTTTTCCACTTTCATTAAAGAATACTTGGCATTAATACCATGATGAGAAGCTTGGAATTGTGTATTTTAGCTAATCTTCCCAGACAGCTCCGTCAGAATTGGCCCCAGTTTTTTAGGAATAAGTTCATTTTAAAGTAAGTTTTACTTGACTATTGGAACTATTTCAATTTGCTACTGAATCTTGACTTTATTTTTACCATTAAATTCTACTTCAAAAATTTGTGGAAAGCTTTTACCACTTTCTCTGTGTTTTTAAGAGATGAGGAGGCCATAATACACTAACATGTTAACAGTGAAGGTCTCCAAAAGGTGATCTTTAATTTTCTTCTCTTTGGGTAACAGTAAGAAATCTAATGAGAAGAAAAATGGAATGTTATTTTTAAAATATCATTTAAAATATAGACAGAACCTTCTCTTGGCACTCTCAGGCTTTCAGAGGACATGGAGTGCATATTTCTCTGGCATCGCTTACATGTGTTCTAGATTGTTTATAAAAGGATCAGAAGAGAAAACTCAGCAAAAAAAAAGAGACAGGATAAAAAGGAATTGTTCATGGAGACATGCAAAAACTGGTTGACTTATAAATGTCTGAAAAGCTTAAAAGTGATTTAAGCTGAATCTATGCAATTGTTTGACTAACTTAAGTGAAAAACCACACTGGAAAAAAAAAACAAAACACTGAATACATATACATGGAATCTAGATAAATGGTACTGATGAACCTGTTTATCAGGGAAGAAATGGAGAGGCAGATGCAGAGAACGGACTTGTGGATGCAGTGGGGGAAGGACAGGATGGGACGAGTGGAGAAAGTAGCATTTATGTATATACTCCATCATTTGTGAAACAGGTGACTAGTGGGAAGCTGCTGTATAACACAGGGCCCTCAGCTTGGTGCTCTGTGATGACCTGGAAGGTGGGGAAGGTGGGGGGGAGAGAGGGTGTGTGTGTGTGTGTGTGTGTGTATAATTATGACTATTTCTCCTTGTATAGCAGAAACCAGAATATTGTAAAGCAGTTACCTCCAACTTAAAACAAGAAAAGCACTGATAATCCTAAGCAAAAGTGTTCTATCTGCATCAGTTTCTACCTCATATAAATATAAAATTGGCCCGAAGTGTTAAAAAAAAATCGGAAGCATTCTTGTGCTCTTTCTGTCTCTTGCTCAGAATGTGAGCACATCACAGATTAAAATAAAACCCAAGGCGATTGGAGTTTCAAAAGGTATCATCTGGGAAATCAAGGGAAGGCTGAGAGTGGGTGGTAGGCGAATAGATATTAAGAGTAAAGTCTCCTCGGCTGCTGGAGTGTCTGTGGAACGGTGCCCACCCTCTGCTAGGCTTTGGTGGGGGGCGGGGGAAGCAGTGCGCGCCTGTGGCTTTGTGACAGTGACATGCACCTCGGAGCTTGGAATCATGGCACAGAGAAGGTCAGTCTCCAGACAGTGTGACATGGCTATTTCAGGTGCTACTTGGTGACCGAGAGTTTATGCAGAACCAACCACTAAGCACTGTTGATCTGAGGACATGGCATGGTGGAGATATGTGAGATTATTAAGCCTTTGGAAGCCACACAAGAGAGGAAAATCCAGGAGAGCAGGCTATGTACAAGCACCAGAGGTGATGAAGATGTGTGAAGACCTGTGTTTTGTTAATGACTGGCAGTTGTTAATAAAGGGTGCTCCCTAGAACAACCAGAACTGGTACATACCTAGATGCAGTCAGCTAATATCCTTATTCAAAGGTTTTCAAGCTAAAAGGCAAATTGCTTCACCACAGGCAAAAATAGTCCATTTAAGACTCATAATTGGAAGGCACTTTATCCACCTAATGATCAGGGGGATGCTGATGACTAGAAACGCCTGCATTAAAGACGCTAAGCACATTTGCCTTCAGTTCAGAGTGAAGGTGGAAATAGTAAGGACTTTCTTAAGATATATATCTTCAGTTTTTTGCAGTGTTGGTGTTAACGGTCCTTCCGGAGTTCAGCCTTGGATAAGGGGAAAGTGAAAGAAAGTTTAGCCTCTCAGTCATATCCGACTCTCTCCAAGCCCGTGGACTGTAGCCCACTAGGCTCCTCTGTCCATGAGATTCTCCAGTCAAGAATACTGGAATGGCTAGCCATTCCCTCCTCCAGGGGACCTTCCTGACTCAGGGATCGAACCCGGGTCTCCTGCATTGTGGGCAGTTCTTTACCATCTGAGCCACAGGAGAGCCTAAAGGTGAGCGGAGAATCACCTAGATGTGAGCGTGGACCCTGCATCCTCTTGCACAGAGAACTCGGTGATTCCTGCAGCGTAAGCGAGTCCTGTCTACGCTTGCCCTCTCCCACAAAAGCAGAGCCTATGCCCAGCACCCTTCCCTGCATTAGAACCACGACAGAGACCTTGAAACGGATCAGAAGGGAACTGACAGAGAGAGATTACTCTGGTGGAAGGAAGACCGACCAGCTTAATGCTTCCTCAAGTACATGGCTGACGTGAGAAGGAAAGAGTAAAGTGAGATACGGACCCAGGAGGACCACCAAACCTCGGTCTGCTCACAGTGAAGGGTTAAGGGCTGCTCCAAGCTACCCACTCCGCTCTCTCAGCCTTCCTTCAATTATCTGTGCAGTTGAAGGGAAACCAGTATTTGGGGTCTGAACTATCAAGGTGCTGACCTCACCTTCTCTAATTTCAGTCTCTAAATACATCGACTTAGTCTGATTGTGTAAAATAACTTAAAATAGTAACTTTGTTCCTATGTTAAGAAGTATCATTTTTTTGATTGGAACAAAATGATGAGCGTACGCCCCCTGACACATGACAAGCACTCACAGGCTTGGAGCGTGTCCTCCACCCCGCCGTGGTTATACTGACCTCAGACAGTGAGGCTGGAGGCAGGGAGGCCGGGAGGCCGGGTGGGAGTGTCCCATGCACTTGTCCAGCAGACGATAATAAAGTAGGGAACTGTGGGTTAATATTTCAGGATGTCCATCCTTTTTGTCAGGCACCAGAGCCTCAAGATCCATTTAAGAGGGAATTGATAGGACTCAGTGACCGACTAGATAGATGTAGGAGGAAAGAGCCAGAGGAGAGCTGATTTTTCAAGCTCGGACAGCTGAGTGGATGGAGAGGCCATTTCCACGGCGAGGATCGCAGGGCTCGGGGTCATCCCTAAGAACATCCATCATTGTGCCGGGTGGGAAAGCCCTCGGGAGGTTATGGAGCTGTGTGGGACTGTTTGGTCGGCTTTTTAATTTTCTTGCTTCTTTCTTAGCTGACAGACTGTCAGCTGTCACGTTTCGCGACTGTCAGGGTGCCTGCCTTTAAGCTTTTTCCTCCTTTATTTTCTAATTTGCTGTTTCTGGAAAACCTAGGAGGCAGAGCGGCTGGAAATGTATGTAAAGCAGGAGTCTGTTGGGGCAGAGTGCTGGTCCGTGGGTCAGTATGTACCAAAAAGTCCCCGGGTCTGTGACTCCTCTCTCAGCTGCTCCCAGGACTGCTCTCATTTTAAACGGATTAGGTCTTCACAGATCTGGCATTCAGAGAGCTACGGACATATTTATTTCTATTTTTAATAGCAACTTTGAGAATAAAAGAGCTTCTTTGAGTCATCAGGTGATTATAAATTTTTAGTGTAGGGCTTTAAAATTGCTTGGCTGCCACATAATAACTAATAGCTGGCATTTCTTGGGCACTTGGTATGGATTAGACCCTGTTCTGAGCACATTTCCTATGATATCACTATGGATTGGGCAGTGTTATTATTATATTTGAAAGTTTTTGTTTTGTTTCAGAATAGAGCCAATTAACAGTGTCACGATAGTTTCAGATGGACTGCAGAGGGACTCAGCCACACATATACATGCATCCATTCTCCCCCAAACTCCCCTCTCATCCAGGCTGGGCAATATTATTACTGTGTAGTATTATTAGTAATACTGGGAAATATTATTATGATTAATACTGGGCAGTATTATTATTATTACCCATTTTGTAGACAGGAAATCAGAAGCTCTGGGAAGTAACTTTTCCTAAGGACACAGTCCATGCACAGCAGAACCAGGATTCAGAGGCAAGCAGGACTCCACAAAGCGCCCAGCCAAGTGTGCGGTAGTTCCCCGGCTGTGTAAGTGAATAGGGCTTAGAACCAACTGGCAAATGGTTGCTGCGACCCCTTAGGGCATCAAGATTGAAGCTGGTTAGTAATGCAACCCAGGCTTCCCTCCCCTGTCCCTGCCTCCCTCCGATGCACAGCACAAGCATCAGCCCCATCAGACCTGTGCGCCATCCCCTGCCGGCTATGAGGCAGAAGAGCGGGGCCCGGGTGGGTGGCTGCCGGTCGGTCACAGGGTGCTCCTGGCTGACCCCAGGGCGCGCTGGCCCGTGTTGTCACTGCGCTGCGCTCGTCCTGGTCCACGCGTGTTCTCCCTCTGTGCTTCCATTGTGTTACGGGCTGGACAATGTCCCCGCAAATTGGAATCCTGAGTTCCTAACCCCCAGTACTTCAGAATGTGCCTGGATTTAGTGGTAGGCCTTTAAAGATGTAAAGTAGGGACTTCCCTGGTGATCTAATGGTTAAGACTTCACCTTCCAGTGCAGGGTGTGCAGGTTCAATCCCTGGTCCGGGAACTAAGATCTCCACTTGCCTTGGGGCCAAAAAATCAAAGCATAAAACAGAAGCAATATTGTAGCAAATTCAGTAAAGACTTTAAAATGGTCCACATCAAAAAAATCTTTAGAAAAAAAAAGACATAAACTAAAATGAGGTTAGTGCTAGATCCTAAAACAATCACTGTTTTCCTTATAAGAAAAGGAGCTTAGGATACAATCACAGATCGAAGAACCCTGGAGTGGGCGATGGCAGCCCACTCCAGTATTCTTGCCTGGGAAATCCCATGGACAGAGAGGCCTTGCAGGTCACAGTCCATGGAGCTGCAAGGAGTTGGACACAACTGAGCGACTAAACAGCAACAATAAGGTCAAGAAGACTTCCTGTGATGTTTTCTTTTAGAAGTTTTATTTTGTGTGTGTGTGTAGATTTCATATTTTATCAGTTTGTTTGTTTGTTCATGTTTTTTGACAACACTTCGCTGCGTGCAGGATCTTCATTCCCCCACCAGGGCTAAAGCCCTTGCCCCTTGCAGTGGAAGCCGAGTCTTAACCACTGGACCACCAGGAAAGTCCCTCTTCTGGAAGTTTTAGTGTTGGGTTTTAACTTATTGAGAGATAGGGATTCGATTTCACTTTTTTGCATATGGATATCCAATTTTTCTGCATCATTTGTTGAAAAGTCACCATTGGTTGCATTGCCTTTGTGCTGCTGTCAAACTTCAGCAGCACATCCATTGTCTGTATGGATGTGAGTTTATTTGTGGGTTATCTAGGCTGTTCCACTGATAACTTTGTCTCTCTTTATACTGATACTATACTGTTCTCATTACTGTAGCTTACAGTGATATCGCTATATTTGTATATGTGTGTGTGACATTATGACATTTCATTCCTAAATACTTCAGTATAAAAGTTTTAATACTAAGGGCTTTGTCATGCCTAACTTGCAACAACAATGAAAATTAGTGCTAATCCACAACTATTATTTAATAGTTCAGATATCTTCAATATCTTCAAATATCTCTAGTGTCTCCCAAACATTTATAGTTTTTAAAGGCATTAATGAAGATCTTTTCTTAATATCTGCAGATTTTCTTTGATAATTCAGCCTTATAAACTTTTTTCCCTGGGTCTATTTTCATATTTTATCATATTGCTAGGAATTCATCCTTTCAATTTGGAAAACTATTATGCTAAAGTTGATTATTCTGGTCTCCTAAATTACTTTAATCACTTCTGTCTCTGTGGGTATTTCTCCTTTCTAATCTTGCCTATGTTGCTCACACTCTTTACCTCTCTTTCAGTCTCTTACACTATCAGGATCTTAAGGGGTTTATCTATTTCTTTATTGTTGTTTTTCCGTCGCTAAGTCATGTCTGACTCATTGTGACCCCAGGGACTGTAACTCGGCAGGCTCCTCTGTCCTCCCGGCATCAGGGTCTTTTCCAGTGAGTCTGCTCTGTGCATTAGGTGGCCAAAATGTTGGAGCTTCAACTTCAGCATCACTCCTTCCAATGGATATTCAGGGTTGATTTCCTTTAGGATTGACTGGTGTGATCTCCTTGCATCCAAGGGACTCCCAAGAGTATTCCCCAACACCATAGTTCAAAAGCATCAGTTCTTTGGTGTTCAGCCTTCTTTATGATCCAACTTTCGTACGTGGCTACTGGAAAAACCGTAGCTTTGACTAAATGGACCTTTGTTGGGAAAATAATGTCTTTGCTTTTAAATACACTATTTTTTCACAGGAGACAGGTAAGGTGGTCTGGTATTCCCATTTCTTTAAGAATTTGTTTGTTGTTCAGTTCAGTCACTTAGTCATGTCCGACTCTCTGAGACCCCATGGACTGCAGCTCGGCAGGCCTTCCTGTCCATCACCTACTCCCAGAGTTTACACAAACTCATGTCCATTGAGTTGGTGATACCATCCAACCATTTCGTCCTCTGTTGTCCCCTTCTCCTCCTGTCTTCAGTCTTTGCCAGCGTCTGGGTCTTTTCAAATGAGTCAGTTCTTCACAGCAAGTGGCCAAAGTATTGGAGTTTCAGCTTCAGCATCAGTCCTTCCAATGAATATTCAGGACTGATTTCCTTTAGGATGGACTGGTTGGATCTCCTTGCTGTGCAAGGAGATCAGATCTGAGCAAGCACTCAGCTTTCTTTATAGTCCAACTCTCATATCCATACGTGACTACTGGAAAAACCGTAGCTTTGACTAGACGGACTTTTGTTTTCAAAGTAACGTCTCTGCTTTTTAATATGGTGCCTAGGTTGGTCATAACTTTTCTTTCAAGGAGTAAGCATCTTTTAATTTCATGGCTGCAGTCACTGTCTACAGTGATTTTGGAGCCCAGAAAAATAAAGTCAGCTACTGTTTTCCATTGTTTCCCCATCTATTTGCCATGAAGTTTTTGGGAATGGTCAGTTTTCTGAATGTTGAGATTTAAGCCAATGTTTTCACTCTCCTCTTTGACTTTCATCAAGAGGCTCTTTAGTTCTCCTTCACTTTCTGCCATAAAGGTGGTGTCATCTGCATATCTGAGGTTATTGAGATTTCTCCCAGCAATCTTGATTCCAGCTTGTGCTTCCTCCAGCCCAGCATTTCTCATGATGTACTCTGCATATAAGTTAAATAAGCAGGGTGACCTTATACAGCCTTGACATACTCCTTTCCCAATTTGGAACCAGTCTGTTGTTCCATGTCCAATTCTAACTGTTGCTTCTTGATCTGCATACAGATTTCTCAGGAGACAGGTCAGGGGTGATCTTGTATTCCCATCTCTTGAAGAATTTTCCACAGTTTGTTGTGATCCACACAGTCAAAGGCATTGGCGTAGTTAATGATGCAGAAGTATATATTTTTCTGGAATTCTCTTGCTTTTTTTATGATCCAACGGATGTTGGCAATTTGATCTCTGGTTCCTATACCTTTTCTAAATCTGACTTCAACATCTGGAAGTTCACAGTTCATGTACTGTTGAAGCTTCGCTTAGAGAATTTTGAGCATCACTTTGCTAATGTGTGAGATGAGTGCAATTGTGCAGTAGTTTGAGCATTCTTTCACATTGCCTTTCTTTGGGATTGGAATGAAAACTGACCTTTTCCAGTCCTGTGGCCACTGCTGAGTTTTCCAGATTTGCTGGCATATTGTTTGTTATTATCCACAGTCAAAGGCTTTAGCATAGTCAATGAAGCAGAAATAGATGTTTTTTCTGGAATCCCCTTGCTTTCCTCATGATCCAGTGGACACTGGCAATTTGATATCTGGCTCCTCTGCCTCTTCTAAACTCAGCTTGTACATTTGAAAGTTCTCAGTTCACATACTGCGACAGTCTAGCTTGAAGGATTTTGAGCATTACCTTGCAAGCATGTGAAATGAGCACAGTTGTAAGGTAGTTGGAACATTCTTTGACATTGCCCTTCTTTGGGATTGGAATGAAAAGCGACCTTTTCCAGTCCTGTGACCACTGCTGAGTTTTCCAAATTTGCTGACGTATTGAGTGCAGCACTTTAACAGCATCATCTTTTAGGATGTGAAATAGCTTAGCTGGAATTTCATCACCTTCAATAGCTTTGTTTGTAGTAATGCTTCTAAGGCCCACTTGACTTCACACTCCAGGATGTCTGACTCTAGGTGAGTGATCACACCATTATGGTTATGCAGGTCATAGGACCTTTTTTGTACAGTTTTTTTTTTGTGTATTCTTGCCCCCTCTTCTTAATCTCTTCTGCTTCTGTTGGGTCCTTATGGATTCAGTCCTTTATCATGCCCATCCTTGCATGAAATGTTTCCTTGATATCTCCAGTTTTCTTGAAGAGATCTCTAGCCTTTCCTATTCTATTGTTTCTATCTATTTCTTTGCATTGTTCATTGAAGAAGGCCTTCTTATGTCTTCTCACTATTCTCTGGAACTCTGCCTTCAGTTGAATATATCTTTCCCTTTCTCCCTTGCCTATCACTTCTTTTCCTTGGCTCTTTGTAAAGCCTCCTAGGACAAGCACTTTGCCTTCTTGTGTTTCTTTTTCTTGGGTATGGTTCTGGTCAGCACCACCTCTACAGTGTTAATGGATCTCTGTCGATATTTCTTCAGGCACTCTATCAGATCTAACCCGTTGAATCTGTTCATCACCCAGAAGTAACATTTGGATTTATTTATCCTCTGCTATCTTCTTATCTTTATCTGATCCTTCTTGCTAGTTTCTTTGGGTTTTGTTTGTTGTTCTCCTTAGGAAATTATAAAAGTGAAATCTTAGACCCTGTTTAACCAAAAGTATATTCAAGATCAAGAACTCTGAGTATGGGTCTCCCTCTACCTTATGGATGTTGTTTGCAATACACTGCTTTCTGGATAGCTGCTAATTTCTCTTCTGGGTTTCATTTTTAATCCACAGATTATCACCAGCTGCTTTTTAGTTTCCACATGGATGAGATTTCTGATTGTTTTATCTAACTCACATCTTTTTTCAAATTTTCAATTGAAATATACTTGAAACTCAGAATGTTTTGTAAGT